TGAGAACCGCTGCCCTAGAAGGACCCCAGATATATTCTCCACACTCACTCACTTAGTCCTGCCGCACAGAGGGGAGAGTGAGGTCCAGAAAGGACACATGCCTTCCCGCTCCCAGGGCATACCTGATCAAGATTTGGTTCTGCAGATCCCAAATCTCAATGAATCCTTTGAAACAAGCCAAGCAGATCTGGGCATTGGAGGAGATGGCCAGAGAGTAGCATATGGGGCCTGCGGAGGCCAGCTGTGCCCTGATGCGGGGTGTGGGTGCCAGATCCCAAAGCGTCAGGGTCCGGGACACCCCCCCGGTGATCAGGCTCTGCTCGTCGGGGAACAGCTTGCAGCTGAGGACACAGTTATGACGGTCCTGTAGGGACGGTCACACGCTCACATCACCTCTGCAAAGCGCAGGCTGCGAGGCTCCTGACGGAATCGCGTCTGGGTGCCCTGAGCCCTCGTAGCACAGCCCTCACCTGGAAGTTCAGCTGGGCCTGTGGGGCCTTGTTCCAGGTGTGCAGGGCACTCTCGTCCCACACCCTGATGTAGCCGTGGCCACACGTGTACACGTGGTGAGTCGAGCTGCTGATGGCAATGGCAGAGACTTTCTTGCCGTGGCAGAGTCTGCCCACCTTCCAGGACTTGCGTGGGATCCTCTGCCTGACCACCACTTCGTCTGCCACGGGAGGCTGGGAGAGGAGAGGGTGGTGGCCTTGAACGGCCATCGCCCTGGGTCCCCCTCATCCGTGGGGACTGCCTGCCCCTGTCCTCTGACTACATTCCTAGCCATTCACCCAACAGCTCCCCTCTCACCCCCAGGCAGGATCGTGTCTCAGCTGGGGACCCCAGCCCCCTGACATCTTCTGCACTAGCCCAGGTCAGGCCCAGGCCGCCTCCGCGATAAGCAGGGCCACGTTTCTGAGGCCATTCCGAGCGCCAGCAGCGAGGGCAGAGCCTGGCTCAGAGCCGCCACGGGTGCAGCTCTGGAAGTGGCTGTGAGCGGAGGCCCTGAATACTGGTGGCGGGAGAAGGGGGAGCCACAGGACCCCGCCACCTATGGGAGAGCGAGCGAGTGTGGACACTGCACACCCTCACCTTCTTGTTTGGGGGGAACAGGGAAGAGAAAGATCCCAAGTTTTTGTTTTTAAAAAACAAGACACTTACAATTGCTCTGAGGAAGGACCAGACTTCGTCACTGGGAGGAGGCGAAGAACAAGGCAGGCCTGCAGGGAAGTATCGATGCCCACGGCTCACGGAGAGGGCAGCGGGCAGCCTGCTCTCCTGACGCTAGGGCCTCTCTCCCAGGCCCCATCTGAGCACCTTGAGCTGCCACCCTCCCTGCCCACACTGTCCCGGTGGCACTCACCAAACTCGAATCCTAGTAAGCTGCTGGGACAAAGGGAGAGGGGGAGGGGGAGACAGAGCATGAAATGGAGGGCTCCCTGCTAGGAAGCCCCGTGCCGCCCCCCCCCCCCCCCGTCAGTTCCTGCCCCCCCTACCCCCACCCCCACCCCCATCCCCAGGGGAGACCTACCTGGAGGCAAACTCTGCTTCTTCTCTCGACCGCCCCTCAGAGAACCAGCTGGCCTGGAGCTCGGACCTGTCGAGGGCCTGGAGGGCCCACTGCTGCGGGGTCACAGTGCTCATCTCCTGATACACCGGGCCCTGCTGCGCCGGGGAGCCTGGGGACCACTGCGGGGTGCCACACACCCCATCCAGCTGGGGCTGTGCTTGATGCCTGTGCTGAGAGGAAAGGCCAGAGCCCTCTGGCTCATACCTCCTCGGCTCTGATCCCTCATAAATTCTGAGAATACTGAATGCGGTCTCTTCCTTCTTTGCACTCATGTCCTTAGACCGAGGAACTGCCTGAGGCACCTGGTGTAGCTTAAGTGATGGGCCCTCAGACAGAGGCTGGGCTCCCAATCCGTCCTTACCCCCTGCAGCAAGAGAGAACGGATACAGGCACGCTGTTTGGGGTCTATTCAGAAGGGTCAGAGAACACCTCTCATGTGAGAGGATTCAGAAGATCAGTCGCTAACTTTTTATACAAAATGTTGGCAGCTGCCCTGCCTGGCTTGGCTCAGTGGATAGAGGTCAGCCTGCAGAGGATTGAAGGGTCCCAGGTTCGATTCCGGCCAAGGGCACATGCCTGGGTTGCAGGCTTGATCCCCAGTGGGGGGGCGTGCAGGAGGCAGCCAATCAATGATTCTCTCTCATCATTGATGTTTCTATCTCTCTCTCCTCCCTTCCTCTCTGAAATCAATAAAATATATATATAAAAAAATGTCGGCAGCACTGGTGACAAGTTTCATAGAGACATTTTGAGATGTTACCAGGTATCGTGTTTTTCCTTCTAGACACACACACTGCATTTCCAGTCCCATAAAATCAATCCACCCTTTAATCTGACAAATGAAGGCTCACCCCCAGTGTAAATAAAACGTAAGGCAACAGGAAACTCCACTCACATCACAGGGCCTCTTGCCACCTGGAGGGGACAGCGGGGCGGGGTGTGTGTGTGGGGGGGGGGACTCTGAAGAAGTCACGCGAACATGATGTTCCGTTTGGATGGGACCAGGCTGCGGAGCAAGGAGGAGGGTGTCTGCGGGTGGTAATCTCTCCTCCCCTACGGGAGAACTCTGAGAACTGAATGGAATCATGCCTGTAGACGCTGCAGAATTATGTAAAGCCAGTGACAAACATGCAATAAACGGCAGAGGTTGCGTTTATTTGTGGACTGTGCCAGGGACCACAGCGGGGAAGACTTATGGCAGACCAAGTGCCTTCATTCAGGTAGCCCTGGAAGGCCCGGGGGAGGCCCAGGGTGCCATTATCAGGGAACGTGAGAATCCTCGGGGACAAAATGATGGTGGGGCTGGGGAGGGCATCTTCTAATGGGAGCCATTGCCTGTGGACCAGGCTCAAACACTGGCTCTCAGATACCGCGTCTCTCCAATGTCCCAGCATTCTCCCCAGGGAAAACAGGCTGCCTGCTCTTCGGCAAATGCAGGGGGCAGTTGTATCAAAGCCTCCACGACTCTTGACACCTTTGAGCTCTCGCTGTGTGTTTGGCCTTGAAGCAAACACTGTATGTAGCTGAGCCCATTTTATCCTATAACTGTGCCGCATTTTACAGATTTTTAAAACTGAAGCTCAGAGCAGGTGAGCAAATAGCTCGAAAGCACAGAGAAAAGGTTCTCTTCTCTGCCCTGTCTAGCTCCAAACAGTCTCCTCTCCATTAGAGGAAGGAAGGCAGCATCCACCATAATTAAAAGGCAGTTTCCCTCGGACCCAGCACTTCCACTTTAAGGCATTTGTCCTAAAGATGCCCGTGAATGTATGCAAGAGGATATCGGTACAAACTGAAGCACTGGTTGTGACAGCAGATGAGTGGACACCCCCAAAGGAGGGGGCTGGTGAGGTAAGCCACAGTTTACGCATAACTCGGAATGCTATGCAGCTGTTAAAAATAACAAGTGCATGGACACTAGTGCGTGGATGTGGAAATTCCAAGGAGTGTTCACGGGCGGACTGGTGGGTTCTGAAAACACGCAGATTTTGTGTAAAAGAGACGGACTTGAGAGCCTTTCTTTGCACATGTCTGGATGTACATATTAGGAAAGTGGATGCTTTTGGGCATGGAAATTGGCAAACAGGAAAGAAGAATGGGAGAAAGATTTGTTGCTAAATAACTTGGGATAGTTTCTGCATATTTGTGGCTATTTGAACCTAAATTAAAAACTGTGGGAAGTTGAGTCTTTTTCTCAACCAAGTCCTTCCTTTCTCACCTTCCCCCAAATGATCATTTGGGGCCCTGGTGATTCTTAGTTATTTGGTGTGTGTGTGTGTGTGTGTGTGTGTGTTTTAAACTGAAGCTCAGAGCAGGCGAGCAAATAGCTAATCAATATATTTTTATTGATTTCAGAGAGGAAGGAAGAGGGAGAAGGAGAGAAGCATCAATGATGAGAGAGAATCATTGATCGGCTGCCTCCTGCACAGCCCTCACTGGGAATTGATCCTGCAACCCCGGCATGTGCCCTGACGGGGAATGGAACCATGGCCTCTTGGTTCATGGGTCGATACTCAACCAAATCCGTCTTGACACATATCAGGCCCCTTTCACTGGGCCACCAGGGCTCCCTGGGCCCTGGTGAGGGCAGAGGCACAGGGCACACATTCCCAGCGCAGTGTGAAGGGGGGCGGGGGCGGTGTCAGCTGCCCAGACTCCCACTTGGGGGTGAGGTAAAGCTTACAGGCAGTGAAGCCATTTAACCAGGATTTCGCCCTAAGAAAGAGAAGGAAGAGTCTTTCTAGAAAGAGGAGAAGGGGGAGTTGATAGCCGGATTCCCCTTCTGCCCTATCCCCAGCGGTGGGAACACAGAGACCTCTCTCTCTTTCCCAAGCTTCAACATAAAACGCTAGCGCAGGGAGGCAACCCTGCCAACAAGGTGAGCACTCCACCAGCGCCCACGGCATGACACCCACCTCGGAAAGCAGGTCAAACCCTAGAGCCGGAAGTCAGCAGGGCCGAGCTCTGCTCGTGCTGGGAACCCCATGCCCCAGCTCTGGACCCTCCCCGCCACACCAGGCACTGCCACGAATGGCCCATCGACCAGGCGTGGCCACAACCACAGCCAAGCGCAGGCCACCCCTGGGGTGCCATTTCCTAAGAACCCTGGTGTCCTTGGATGAGGGGCAAGGTGGGGATCTGCCAAGTAAATTCAGGGCAGGAGGAAAGATGGAGTGAGAAATTTTTAGAGGGACACGTCTTTGGACGGTGTTCAGGCCGCCCACAAAGCTAGCGTTTCCTCAAAGGTGTGCGGCTGGATTGGGTTGTGCACCAGAGCCACTCAAATGTCCGTCTCTGGGTGAACCCCCCTCGCTTAGGGAGCCGGCGATGGGCTGCCCAGCGTGGGTGACTGTGGGGGAAGGAGGAGCCGCTTCTTCTCCTTCCCCCTGTTCTGGCTTTACAGGCCTGGCTCTGTCCCTGAAAGCGAGGAGCCGGGTGCCCGCTTCGGCAGCAGTATACTAACATCGGGACGACACAGAGATTAGCATGGCCCCTGTGCAAGGATGACACGCAAATTCGTGAAGCGTTCCATATTTTTTTTAAAAAGTGAAGAGCAGGGAAGCCATTCTTTTCTGCGGCTGTCTCGCCCAGGGGTTCTTAAATTTGAGCAATCAGAACCCGCCCCCCCAGATCTTCTTAGAACAGAGTGGGGGGCGGGCAGCCCCAGAGATTGGTTCTGTGGGTCTGGGGTCGGGCCCAAGACGGTATTTCTAACAAGTTCCCAGGTGATGTCACCCTGCGGCGGCCGGGGCTCCACTGAGCGGCACGGCCTGTCCGCTCTGCCCGCTGGTCCCTTTCCTGCAGGAGGGGCAGGGGGTGGCCCGGCCTGTCCGCTCTCCCCGCTGGTCCCTTTCCTGCAGGAGGGGCAGGGGGTGGCCCGGAGCCTCTCCTGTCTGCTCCCTCCTTTCCCCTCGGCCAGGGCCCGGCCCGCCCCGCGCTGGGCACACTCTTCCCTTCTCTATCGTTTCCCTCACTCACTGGCCTGAGGCGGGCGGTGTTCTCACCTTTGCTTCCCCGGGAGAGGAGCAGGAAGCTGCCTGTGTCCCTGCCCAGGTACAGCCACAGGTGGTGACGGCGGTGTGGTGGACCCGAGGGTTGTGCTCAGGGCACCCCGCCCGGAGCCCCGGGGCGTTCACCTGGGAGGCTGCCGGCGAAATGCACGCGCCCTATCCACACAGACACAACCACTGCCTCCCTCACGGCTCCCTGCCGCCATCCTCTCCGCGAAATGATGCCCCAGCGGGTCCTGCGGGGCCAAGAGCGCACCCCAGGGAGCAACTCCAAGTAGAATGGGGGGGGGGGGGCAGAGAGTGGGAGCCATTAGACGGCGCTGAGCGCTGACAGCGGGCGGTCCGCGCGGCACCAGGGCGCCCCGGGCCGAGGTCAGTGGAGCGGGGAGGAAGCCGGGGAGAGGGCCCGCAGGCGCAGCCAGGACTGTCCTCAGGACCCCGCTCCCGGGGCGGCCTTCTTCCTCCCCGTGGTCACGGAGCCTCCCGCCAGCGCCCTCATCCTGCGACCCCCGGGAGCACGGAGGCTCCTGTCGCCCCATCTAGTGCCATCGGGCCCCTCCCCGGCGGGCGGGCGGGCCGTGGGCGCTCTGGTCCTGCCCCCGACGGCTCCCGGCCCCGCCTTCAGGACCTCGAGGCAGAGCCCGCGGCCCCGGGCCCTTCGCCGCCTCCCCCGGCGGCCCTGCTCGCGGGAGTCCCCGGGCTGGGCCCCCGCGGGGCGGGCGGTGCTTCTCGGGCGCGGCCGCCAGCCCGCGGGACTTCCGGGTTCCAGCGCGCGCCCCCAGCCCGCGGAGGCACCGCTCTCCCTCCGCGAGCGCCGCTGGGCCGCCTGCGATGGTTTCCCGCCCGCGCCCGAGGCAGCCAATGGCCACCGCCGGGAGCGGAGGCCGCCCTCTCCTCACCCGCGCGCCCTCCCGCCGCCCCGCGGGGTCCGGGCGTCGCGGCCACACGCCGGGAGCACGTGGGCCCCGGGCGCTCCGGGCGGAGGCGGCCACGGACGCGAGGAGCGGCCCTTACCGTGCGGCTGAAGGAGCCCCGCCGAGGCGCCCTCCGCGCGGCCGTGCAGCCGGGAGGGCTTCCTGGAGGCGGGCGTGGGTGGGGCTTCCGTGCCCGGTGGACGGCGGTGAGGAGAGCTGAGCGGGGGCGCCGCGCCGCGAGACTGGTGAGGGGAGAGCGGAGCGGGCGGAGGACCCGGCCCGGGCGCGCCCAGACCGCGGAGCCCGGGGCGTCCTGGGAGCTGTCGGAGGGGAGACCACGTGGTCTCGGGCATATGGCGCCCGCGCGGGGCAGGAGCGGGGGGGCCGGGGGGGGGCAGCTCTCGGGGAGGAGAGGCCGGGTGGCGCCCGCTCCCGCCCTTGGCGAGCCCAGGCGCGGGACGGGCCGCCCACAGAGGCTCAGTCGGATGGGTGCGCTGTGAGCGGACCGGAGGAGGGGGTGTGGCCGGAGCCGCCGGAAGCCCCCGCCCCACCGCCCGTAGGGGAGAGCTGCCAGAGCGGTGCGGATCCTCTCCTTCCCCACCCTTCCCCTTAGATCCCAGCCCCGCTTGGGCCTCTCACCAGGCTCCTCCCCGAATGGCTGGGTGCCCCGCGGCAGCCATGTTTCCCCGAACTCAGTTTCCCCTCCTGACCTGGAAGGGCGGCCCCTGTTCTCCGAGGCTCTGACAGGGTGACAGCCGGGGCGGAGGCGCCTGCGCTGCGGGCAGCACGCGCTGACCCAGGCCGAGGGGACTTTAACCCTGGCTCCTCTGGACGTGTGAGGGGCGGGTCTCCACGCTGTGGCCCCTTCCCGCCTGGTAAGGGCTCCACTGGCCGGGATTCCGGGCGGGCCACGGTGCTGCGTGAGGACGGGCGGGTGCCTGCCTCCTCCTGCCGCCCTCGGGGACCCCCGGGTGGGAAGGGCCGTGAGCCTGGGACCTGTCCTCCACCCCTGAGCCGCCCAGGAGCCGGAGACGCAGGGAGACCAAGGACACGCGGCCGTGGAGGCAGATCCGGACAACAAAAGATCAGGTTGTCTGCAGCCACTGGACCCTCCTGGCGTCCCTGCCTAGTCGCTGCCATAGCAGAACCTGCGGCTGGCCGGCCGGGGACCGGAGTTGCAGGGCTTCCTGTCCCCGCCTCCGCTGACCGCACACCCACAAACCATCGGCAGGATGTTCGGGAACCGGGAGGGTTGCAGCGAGCTCTGGCCTTGCAGCTCTCCTCTGGCCTGGGAACCAGGGAGTGTCCACCTCCGGGCCTCAGTTTCCCTGTAAGTAAATGGCCCCCATGCCTCGGTGCACTCTGGGTCTCGGTGTTCGGCCTGGAGTTTCCCAGAGCAGGGCCAGCGGGTCAGAAGGGCCCTGGCACCCCTGTTCTGAGGCTCCAGGGTCTGCCTCCAGCTCCGAGGTGCATGGGGGCAGGGGAGGGCGTGTGCATGGCATCTCCTGGACACTCCAGCTCAAGTCCTGGAGCGCGTCATTAGCTCTCCGACCGGAGCAGTTCCTGTGAAGCCCTCGACGGCACTCCCAGCCAACACTGGTCACTCACGCTGGACGGCGCAGGAGGGAGGTCTGCGCAGGGAGGCGGCCTGTGTGTCTGTCTGCAGGGATCTGTGCCTCCACGGGAGGGTCTGTGTGTACATCTCCTGTCTGTGCTAGAGGTCAGGGGCTTCCTGTGCGTGGTTGTTTGCACCCGTTTTAGTTTCCACTCCTTGGAATACTACCAAGACTGAACATCTTACTTTATTAATAATTTAATCTTTTTTAAAGCTGCCTACTAGTGTGATTTACTGGGTTTTCTTAGATTATTAGAGGCCTGGTGCACAAAATTCATGCATGGGTAGGGTCCCCAGGCCTGGCCAGCAATCAGGGCTGATCTGTGGGGCAACTGGTGGGGCAATGGGAAGCAGGGGTCGCTGGCACCTGCCTTGGCTGGCCTTGGGCCGGTGGGTTGGGGGCAGCTGCTGCATTGACCACCCCCTGGTGGTCAGTGCAGGTCATAGCGACCAGTTATTCCACTGTTCAGTAGATTTGCATATTAGGCTTTTATTATATAGGATTTTTCTCTTAATGGTAAGACCTCTCTGCATATTACTTTTACATAACAAATTTTACAAGGGTTCTAGTTTTGTGCTTTATCTTTTAACTTTATTTGGATTTAAAACAAATATTTACTTTTGAAGTCAGTTTATCAATATTTTCCCTTATATTTGGTTTCTGGAGGCTGGGCTTGCTGAGCATGGGTGGGGTTTCATCTGATGATTTTATCTAAACTTCTAAAGGTTAGCTCTATTCCATGAAAATAAAAATTACTCACATTTTTCCTTTTCTAAAGAAATATTTATTGTTTTTCCTCTTTACAAAAGTGATGCATGCTTATTGTCAAAAATGAAAGGGAAATAATTTAGGTACAGTGACTATCTGAGTTTTCCTATCCAAGAACAAGCTTCTCTCTCCCCATTTGTTTCCATTTGTGACCCTCAGTGGTGATCCATATGATTTTATTCCTAGAAAATCTACTTTTCTTGATGGTGTTGGGAATGGGATATTTTCTTCCATTATATTTTCTAATTGGTTGTTGGTATAAAAAAAACTATTTGTTTTTGTTTGTTTTCCGAGTGTCAGGCTATCAACTATCCATATGTCCATGGCCAGGATGCTGGGCGTAGGCAAGCCTCTCTCTGCCACCCAATGACCTATTTGTTTTTGAATGTTACTTTTTAACTGGTCTTCATTTCTGATTTAAAATGTAATAAATAAAATGAGAAAGATTTGTTTCCATGTAAAGATTGCTACATTCATCTCTCTCTCAGGGTTTTCCACCAGGGTAAGTCTCATGGTACCTGATTCAGTTCAACATTAATCTCGAGAGTTTTCTACATCCTTCTCATTAATTAGGATTTTCCTTCACTGTGGACACTCTGATGTTGACTAAGTTGGAAGCTAAACCTGAAGGCTTTCCCACACACATTACACACATAGGGTTTCTTCCAAGTGTGGACAGTCTGATGTATAATACAGTCAGAACTGTAGCTAAAGCCTTTGCCACACTCCGCACATCTGAAGGGTTTCTCCCCAGTGTGGCTTCTCTGATGCCGAATTAAATGGGCATTAACATGGAAGGCTTTTCCACACTCCTTACACTGAAAGGGTTTTTCTCCAGTATGGATTCTCTGATGTACAATATAATCAGAACTACAGCTAAATGCTTTCTCACATTCCTTACATTTGAAAGGTTTCTCCCCAGTGTGTATTCTCTGATGCCTAGTTAGTTTGGCATTGATACTAAAGGCTTTCCCACATTCTTTACATTGATAAGGTTTTTCTCCAGTATGTATTCGGTGATGATCAAGTAGGTTTCTTTTAGAAGTAAAGCATTTTCCACACTCATTACATTCAAAGGGTTTCTCCCCAGTGTGAATCCTCTGATGCTGCATTAGTTTTGCATTGACGCTGAAGGCCTTTCCACACTCACTACACTCATAGGGCTTCTCTCCAGTGTGGATTCGCAGATGCTGTCGAAGCTGGGAGTTACACCTGAAAGCTTTTCCACAT